CCAGACTCCATTGGTAGTTGCCTTGGATGTTGTTTAGAACACACAGACATGCTGTTACTGCATTAACCAAGTCACTGTATTTTAAGAGTAATCTGGCATCTCAAGCAATATATCATCCCACGTAGGTGCTATGGTGGCCACTCTTCCTACATGTCTAATCGTTGGTATCTACTGAACAGTCAGTTGCTAGGGCTTGTATTGAACTGTGCATTAGTTTACTGATTGCCAGTGGGTGTCAGAGCCTTATGAGCCAGGATGTGGAATACAGTAAGGACTGTCTTGGGCTCTTGCAGGTGGACCCAAATGTCTTTCCGTAAATCCTGACCCCACAATGGTTTATTCACGATCATCCATCCCTCAGTTTCCCATGGTCCAAGCCATAGGATTAATCCCTTTAGAATAGCCCAACTGTCAGTGCAAAGCATTACTAGCCAGGGCTCATGAGTGACCACCAGCCAAACCACTCTGAGTTCAGCTCACTGGCTGCTATGGTTCATTCCTGTTACAAGCACAGGTTCTTACTGTACTGATGCAAATAACTAGATTACCATGAAAATAAAAATAATAAGAGTTTCTGAATTTTGGAAGGATCAGGTAGGGTGTAAAAGATAAATGTTCCTTCTTTGTTCACAAAGGTAATGTTAGCAAATTGCTGAGAGTTTATGAGAAAAGAGAAAAGGGGTTTCTTAAATCTGGTATTCCGTTGTCCCCTGATTCCAGGGCTCTATGACACAGTAGCAACTGCTATCTGTAAAGGGTGTGTGGTATGACTGCCAAGGGCTCAGACTCGCAGAGATGAAGGTTTGGGTCACACCACCAGGGAAGCCACCAAAGCCTGTCAAAATAATAGCTGAAGATGAGGGGAATTTAGAATAAAGAGTGGCTTGGGAGAGGATGAGTATCAATAGGAACCTGAAACCAAGTGCAGCACCAGGAGCTATTGTTTGTCCAACTAACTGTCCTCATCTAAATTTTCCCTCAGAAAGAGGCCCACAGGAACTATGGAGGAGCTTGCCCCCCTGAACCTGCTTGGAGCAACAGATCTCTGTGGTTCAAGGAATGGATTACAGTGACCATGAAAAATGCACAGCTCGGGTCCTGCCATGCCTAGGCGGCTCCCAGCCAATGACCACACACAGTGGGGTTACTAATGCAGGCCCATTCCTGAGAGTTGTGGAACTCTTTACTGAGAGATTTTAGATCAAGAACTTCCCATTAGCCTGGCCAAAACTTTCTTAGACCGGCAATTCAGTCTGAGACCCTTCCGCCCAATCTTGTTTTATTCCTGTTCTCCCTCTCCTTACAGTTGTCAGATTCTTACCACAGTCTGAAGGCACTATCTGCCTTCTCTCACTCCCTCTTCCTTTCTCCTTCAAAGGCCTTTCCCCCAATAAATTTCTTGCACAGAAAATACTGTCTTGATGTCTGCTTCTCAGAGGACATGAATTAACATAAGAGCTAACAATTATTACTTTTATTATCTAAGGTTCTCTACTTTCTTCCTTAAATGTAACTTCCCCCCAAAACAGGATAGTTGGGTCCAAAAATAGACCATAGGAAACCATTCTCATATTTCTAGCAGTTATTTTAGTGTATCAATAACATGTGATACACATGTATATGTACCCATATATACACACCATCTATATATCCATATAAGTACACACACCATATATATATCCTTTGTACAACTATATCCTTGTACATTTGTGATTTTCAGAGGAAAGATTCTTTGCATTAGAAGCTATCACAGTTATAGTAAATTTTTTAAATCCTTGTCTTCTGTTCAAAGGACATACATATTTAAAAA